TTTACTTAGGTGCAAAGTGTAGAGCTGAGCAAATCGACAATGGAACTGCTATATTCTACTCACACAACTGCAAACGTCCTCAGATTGAGCCACAACTGCCCTTGACATCTACCGATCTTACTTTAGTACTCAATATGAGTGCTCTGAGCTCATTCAACACTTAAGGCATTACTCTACTGCTGAATCTGCTGCTTTCTGCTCAATCTGACAGCCATTCCAACCAATCTGCTGTGAGTTCCACCAGTTCTACTACAGAACATGTCCAAGCCAGACAGGAACACATCCAGTCCACTACAGGACCAATTGAAGACACATCCATGGCTGCAGAGAACGTCCTAGCACAGCAGTACTGAACTTTGTAGTAAGTTACTAACGTTTTCTTTCGTTTTTGTGTTGTTATTTCGTTTATTCCAGTACTAACTTGTAAGGATTTGATTTACTGGTTCGTATTTTATTATCACTACATTGCTGATCGCGTCAGATCATTGCGCAGTGGGACCCACAAGCGCATATATTCTCATTGTAGTTAGTTACACTTCCTCCTCATGTATCTACACGTGTACTACCCTTTATAAAGACAGTATTGATCGCTGGGTAAAGGGGATTCTTTTCCCCTGACCCCTCGCTCGAGTACTAGGTTATCCCAGTCAGTAGTTGAGTGAACTAAGGGCGATTAGAATTCTCTTGTGAGGAACAGTGAGTTTCCTTACATATTTTTGACTGTACCCACCTAGCACCGAAACCCCTTGCTGGACGCTGAGGAACCGAAGGGTCTGATCAACCCTAGGTCTCCCTCGTCGTCTAGTACCCATCAGGAATTATTAGTGAGTAAAGTTACGATTTTCGAGTAGAAACAGAGACTACTTACTGGATTGGCCCCCAGTAGGTTCACAATGCTTCGGAACGCTGCGGAACGCTTCTGGAATGCATTAACACATATCGATATGGACCAGCGCTGGATACGCTGGAGGTTCGCATCGATCGGATGGGTCGAGGACCAGGCATCCGTGACGGCGAAAAGGAATGAACAGGCGCGCATCGAGTTTACAGGCAATGGACAACAAGATTACCCATTGGTTATTGATTACAATGTGGCCGCCGAGCCTCGACAGACGATTCCCGGAGGGTACCCAAGTCCGGATATCGATACTAACATGCCAGGATGTAAGTCCTCGTCCCTCGTGGGCTGGAGGCAACCCGATGAACCTATACCAGGTGATAAGTCCTCGTCTGCACAAGGCTGGAGGCACCCTGATGAACTAGTACATACCAATAACGTAGAATTAAGGCATGTAACTGTACCAGCGCATATAGTTAGACAAACGCGCACTGTAGAGCAGACACCAGCGAGTACTGAACTTACTGGGCTCGCAGGAATAGTAAATAGCGGTACAAAGAGCGGAAACGCTCAGGCGATTGGATTCGAGGATTCGTCCAATCGAGTACAGAAGGTCGAGTTTGAGGATTCAACTCACCGAGTACAGGCGATTGAGCTTGAGGATTCGCTCTATCGATTTCAGGCTACCGAGTTTGAGGATTCACTCGATAGAGGACAGGCGATTTGGTTTGAGGATTCACCAAGTCGATATAGAGAGCTAACGGCGAGCATCGAGGAATTTGCAAGCCAGTACAAGAGTTACAGAGTGCATATAGTCAGTATCAGTGAGAGCGTGGATGAGTATCCAGTGAGCGCACTTACTTCAGAACGGAAACACATCGACAACAGCGATGTAGAGGGCAATAAGACATCTAAGACCCTTTTAGGCAGCGAAGAAAGCAGCCAGGACTCGAAGAACAAGAGTAACAGACAAGGCCAGGAGAGCCAGGCATCGGAATTACAGAGATCCGATGAGGAACAAGATTTCCAGAAGGCAAGTAAGACCTTCAGACACATCGCAAGAGCCAGAGCGATTAAGATAGACATAGGACATGTCAGCCCATTCCACAGTTCGATAGACATCGATGATTTGAATAAGAGAACGTACAAGTTCGATGGAATGTATCAGGAAGAGGAGAAAGCAACTCCTTCATCAAATAAGAACGGACTCGATAGTATAGCAAAAGAAAAGCGTGAAACGCTTCAGGCAGGCTACAGAACGAAAGCCAGACATGCCACAGTACCTACAGACAATAGAGATCACAACTATCGATCTAAGAGTGTAGAAGAAACGCTCAAGAGTCCAGACAAACGATCGCATTCGCAGAAAGCGAAAGGAAAGTGCAAAGCGAAAGGAATACGCAAAGCACAAGGAACGGAACGAAAACCGGAACTGCCAGGCATTCAATACGATTGTGAAATCGATTCAGACTATCCAAGCGAAACGGACATCGCATCAACAGAACGGTACTTTGAGGATAGCAAAAGTGAACGCAAATTGGAACTACAAGGATCAGTACTTGATCCAGAGGGCGAAAACCAAGCATACACCCACGAAATCGAGTGTTTAACCTCATACATGGCAGATATCGACTACGCATTGCACAGGAGCAATGTACAGGACTACTACAATGGATACGACACCCTAGCCAGGTCCAGGAATAAGAGAGAAAGCGAAATACCTGGATATATGCGGTCTCAAATGGAAACATCGAGTTTTTCAGGACATCAGAGTATCCCTCGCGAAAATAAAAGGAACAAACGATCCCATAGCGATACTTCGCGATTGAAAGCAGTCCCAGGCAAGGCAAACACTAGTGGTATTAGTGAGAACAATATCGATTCAGAGCGCAGCAAACTACGCAGTTCAAAGCCACATATTGAGCGCAGCAAGCATAAGAATAGCTCGAGCAGTAGTTCAAGGACGAACAATGGACACAGGCATACAGTGTAGAAAGGATTCTACAAGACTACGGATACGCATGGCACATGGAAAGGACTAGGAAACACGCATACAACCATCGTTTCAAGGATTCTAAGACGCTACAGGCGCAAGGCAACGCATACATGGACATTTCAGAGACACTACTACCAATTCTTAGAGCCACAAATCGAAACGACGCTCTTAAGAAGTACAGGCTGTTCACAGACAACAAGAATGCGTACCAGGACATCAGGAAAGGACCTGAGAATGTTAGAAGATCGGAATATAACCAGCCAGATAGTATTATGGTTTACAAGGCGATGCAAATAGTAAACTGCGCAAGCAGGACAATCTATCAAGCATTACTGGACTATAAAATACGACTACTCTTGGATACTGAGAAATATTTCAATCCAAACGATTCACACAGGTATTCTATTAAGTTAGAAGGCTACATCACGCATCGGAAGACAGAAATCGGCACATTGAGCAAGGCAAAGTGCATATACATCAGGAATAAGATGATACCGCTCCAGAATAAGCATCAGGCATGGAGATACATCGACAGCAATAGAAAGACACAGACATACACATACACAGTCGATTCTATTCAGTACAGGAAGGTATTCGAAAGCAAAGAACCGCTTCAGACAATTTCAGGACTAGTAGAATGTTCAGACATTCAGGCATATCGATTCTACAACATCGGAACAGACATTTCCATCTTCAGGATTGAAGAAACGGTCAGTAATGAGCACGATCGAAGTAATTCGCATAGAACATTGTTCTATAAGGTACAATTGGATGTTACGCTACGAAACCATTCAGTTTACGGTGAAGAACTGTTGGAAAACGCCAAAACCAGTTCGGAACACAAGGATATATTGTACAGAACGCAGTTTCAGGAGAACATAAGGTATTACATCGCGAAATACACCTTCAGACAGCCAGGATTCATTGGAATAGACTCAGGATACTTTATTAGACGTATTATGAGCATCACAGGCACTCAAATGGATGCGCTAGCGCGCATATACTCAGGATACATAGCAAGAATCGCGTTATTCAAGCTACAGGATGACAATTACGATCTACAGGATGTAAAACAGCTACGATCTATGCAACACAAGGATAGTAAGACACTACTGAGATCAGGAACAATCACGCATCGTATGGAACGAAGTACAGAAGTTCAGAGGGCGACTTCAAGCCAGAGAACAGGTTCGGAACCCGGACAATCCGCTCAATCCGCTCAAACGGATTATCACACCGCTTCAAGGGAAAGCGAAGGCAATACGCATACAGCCAGCGAATATCAGAGTGATAGTGAATTAGCAATGATCGAACAGACTATTCGAGCATTCAGGAATGATACTTCGACGCTACAGAAGGAAATAGAGCATCAGGAAGCTCCAGGACATCTATTGAACGATGATACAGTTCAATCTACTCTAGGAATGAATAGTTACGATCAGTTTGAAGTACGAAATCACGCAGAGAACCTCTCCAGACACTACAGATATGTTCTAGGACAGTACCAGACGTTTTACGCCGAAAATGAAGTCATATTTCGACGAGAGGGCGAGAGGCACACGCATTGCATTGCATACATGCTCTTTGAGCATACATCATGTTTGAACATACAATTTTCTTACATGGATTGCTACAGAACGATTTTGCGAAGGACTTCGCAGTACCAGACAGTATCAGTACTACAGGAAACAGGACACATGATAGGTACACGAGGAAAGAATACATCGGAACAAGGACAAGGACACAGAAAGACAGGAAGTCAGCGCTAGAGCGCATTGATCCACACATGGATTTGCCAAATGAACAAGAAATTGGCAGCATACACTCAGGACTTCAGGCAGCGCTACTGCGCATACAGACAGGACATTTCATTGAGACATACATGGAACAACGCAGCATACAGACAGTTACGGCACTCAGGAAAGTAGAGAACGCTACTTGGACATTTTGTGATAGAACATCGCGCCATGAGACAGCGAAAGTATACTTGGACGATTCAGGAATCGAATCAATCGACTTACGAAGACACGAACGAGTCGAGACACAAGGAAACAGTATGAGAATACAGCAGGACATTCATTGCGCACAGAGATACCGCGCATATAGACACATATCTAGTAATATTATGCTCATACATCACGATCTCATTGAATTCGAGACGATATTTTCATTCAAGGACGGATATTACACTCTAGGTTGCACTCCGCAATTAGTATTTGGACATCGAGCTCAACAGGATATCCAGTTTTGCATCACAGTTGGTTATTGCACGCAAAAGAGTACACATTTGGACATATTCTATCAATACGAGCGCAAGGCATTACATTTGCAGGAACTAGTCTATTGGAAAAATCGAGGACATAGCAGAGGAATTTCGGAATACATCTCCGCTATCTATTATTGCATGACTATTCTACAGAAGCAGAGAAACGCGCAAGGACAGCTAGAAGCCGCAACGCTAATCCATTCTATTGAGGAAGAAGGCTATAGCTTCGTCGATCAGGGATTTACCTCCGCGCTTCCCGAAGACGCGGGAGAAGAGAATATTTGCAATTACCACGCCGCCGGAATTTCCATTTCCGTACATATCGATCTACATCGCGCGTCTCAGAATACTCAAGAGCCGAAACGCCATATCTCCCCAGGAACTCCACCGATTCCCTTCGAAAAGTGTCGTATCGATAGCGACAATCAAGAGGCAACTTTTCTACTAATTGACTATACGGTAATAATGACCACGTTTAATTTTATTAACGTTTTATCTAGTTTCACATGGTTCAGAACCATGCTACTCACCGTCCGGAACGCCACCACCGTCTCAATACGCACCGGATCGACTTCGGATCAGTTCAGAGAGGCAGTACTACATCACGAGGATGTTTCCCATACGCATGGGCAAGGTATTTTATTATTTACTTGTTACTAACTGTTACTTTTAAGTAAGTTCTCCGCCTTTTCTACTGATTTTTAGCATTTAGGACTAAATGCTAGAGGGCGAGTGTAAGGATTTGATTTACTGGTTCGTATTTTATTATCACTACATTGCTGATCGCGTCAGATCATTGCGCAGTGGGACCCACAAGCGCATATATTCTCATTGTAGTTAGTTACACTTCCTCCTCATGTATCTACACGTGTACTACCCTTTATAAAGACAGTATTGATCGCTGGGTAAAGGGGATTCTTTTCCCCTGACCCCTCGCTCGAGTACTAGGTTATCCCAGTCAGTAGTTGAGTGAACTAAGGGCGATTAGAATTCTCTTGTGAGGAACAGTGAGTTTCCTTACATAACTCCCTTAGCATTTAGGACTAAATGCTGGAGGGCAAGTGTAACAATTGTGCTACCTGTGCATTTGCACAACATGTGTTGTAGGTGCTTGTGAGTGTTTTCCTTTTTGTTCACTAGACTACCCTGTATCCTACTACACGTGTATACACATATATAAAGGGTTTTCGAGCTAAGGGTTAGGGGATTCTTTCTCCTTCTCAGTGCTTGATTACTAGGTTATCCCAGTCAGTAGTTGAGTGTGCTGGTAAAGAGAGAATCTTTGCATAAGGCTAGTATACCTATCCTTACATGTCCCCTAGTACAAATGTCTCTTATAATTGAGGAAGAACAGGGACTGTCCTGTTGTAGAGTATTACTAGTTATTGTACACAAATTCTGTTAGAGCTAACCATTCAGACTAGTCTAACTACTAATAATTAATGAACATTTAGAGATAGAGCTTAATCTCCTAGTTGACTTACTTAGTTTAACTATTAGTTTGTAAGTAATATGTAGTAGAAGGGTTCTCTTGAATTCTGAGAAGTATATACAAGTTCTGTATGAATTTTGACTCAAATTACAGTCTACAATTATAAATGAGCTTCTAAGAGAGTCTGTATAACTAGAAAATGTGATTCTAATAAATGTGTACTATACTTTCAGAAGTGAGTTCTGTTTGGGTTGGAACTGTATAGACTTGTTTAGAGAATCAGTCAACAATCATACAGATAGTATTGTAACCCTAAGACTCAAGTAGCTTACTAATCAGGTCTACTAAGACTTCTTCCTAAGAGTAATCCAGGATCTAATACAGATGTAAGAGAGTCTAAACCCTTGTCTAGTAGGCTTTAGTCTGTTAGTACATATTGTAACCAGTCATATACTTTAGAATTTCCCTCTACATTCCTGACTACTAGTAGTTCTGAGTAATGAGTTCCTACATTTTGTGTTAGCCTAAATGTCTTACAGTCAGATTGTTATAATAAGCTCAGACAATGTCCTCTCACAGCTTCTGATCCTTTAGAACATACAGTCAGTCTTCCTAGTAAACCTGTCTATCCTTATCCTCCTCCTAATCCCTAGCCTACTTCTCTAGCTACTTTATTACAACCTAGTCCTGTGTGTGTCTTAGAGCTTACTGTATACAGGTAACAAAGTCAACATTCTTAGATTTGAGTCAGATCTCTTAAATTGTCTCAGACACAAAACAGGAATTGTTTAGGAGAATAAGATTTTTGTTATCATTCTCCCTTCTTTTATAACCTACTTGTCTTAAGAGTAAATCAGCTTTTGTTATTTGTGTTCTAGGTTTGTAGGTTAGTATAAAGTTATAGTCTTACAGTTCTAACATCTAGCAGGCCTAGTAGTAGTTGAGCTTCTGAGGTGCCTAGAAGTACTAGAGATTAAGGTGATCACTCTAAATCTCAAACTTCTATACAGTACTAAGGAGATATTAACACTACTCCTCTAGAGAACAGACAATTACAAGGAGTTTCTTGTTATAGATAGGGTAGTTCTGTTCTATTACAGAGAGGGATTCTAATCAGAACACTATCAGACACTACTTTCTGTCAATGAACTAGAACAGTACTACTCTATTTGTAAAGTTAGAAGAGTTAGCTTTAACTCAGAACTTGTTTATAACTGTTAGAACTACTAATATAGACTTGCTAATAATAGTCTACTTAAGAGACTCAAACACAGACTGTTACTAATCACCCTATTACTAAGGAACATCTTTACTAGTAAGATTGTGAAGGGGCTAGATAATAGTACTAAAGTCTTAAATAAAGTATTAGTAGTAGTTTGTAAACCTAAGGAATACTTAGACCTGTTTCAGGTTCTAAAGTTATAGTCAGTTCTAAACTGTAGTTACCTTTGCTAGATCCATACAGACCTCTCCTCTACTGATTACAAAGCCTAGATAATCTACTGACTCTTGTGTAAAAGAACACTTTACTTCTTAGAGAAACAGTTTATTATTTTAGAGCTACTATAGAACTACTTGAATCAGTTAGTAATAGTGCTCAACTGTCTGAGTGAAGATTAGGATATTGTCTAGATACACACTAACATGCTTCAAGTTAATCAGATCTGTAAGGATGTGATTCATGAATGACTAGAATGTTGTAAGTAAGTTGGTTAGTCTGAAGAACATTATAGTTAGTTTGTACAATCTGTAATTGGTTCAGAACACAGTCTTCTACTCATTTCTGTCTTAGATCCAAATATTATTATACTCTTACTAAACATTCAACTTAGTAAAAACTCTGAATGTATGTGTCTTATTAATGAGCTCCTGAATTAGGAGGAGTAGGTACTTGTTTTTAATAGTACTCTTATTAAGACAACAATAATCCTGAACTGAGTAGAGCTTCCTATCTTTCTTTTTGACATAGAAGAAAGGGGAGACTATAAGGGACTTTAAGGGTCAGATCTGACTATTTCAAAGATTTTCCTGAAGGAACTCATTGAGTGTCTCCTACTTGTCTCTGTTGAGTAGGTAGACCTTACAATCCTTAGGTTGGAAACTCTTAGTCAATTCAATTATATAGTCCTAGAAACAGTGTTTAGGAAGCTAGTCAAATTCCTCTTTACTAAAGACTTTAGGAAACTCTCAGACAAAATCTAGTAGACTGAGTCTATGTGTGTTCTAGAGTAGAGTTGTTCTGAGAGGGTTCTAGACTGGTTCTGCCTCAGACATCCTTTAAATTGACTCTGTTCTACCTTGACTAGAATATGTGTTCATATATTCATCCTAGTTGAAGAAGAACAACTAGTCACCTTCATTAGAACTGTTAGTAACATTAGAAGCATTTGTATTTACTTAGAACAGTAGTGTAAGATAGTTGTAAGACTTAGAACACTAATCAAACACAAGTGTTTACTCTAACTAGTTAATAGTAAGGTTGTGAGCCTTAAGCCATTTGAATTCAATAAAGATGTCTGTCTTTCTAAGGTTAGTGACTCTAAACTCAATACTTTCCTTATGATTCTGAATAGTCATCTATAGTTGGACAAACTTAGTAATCTAACTATTTTGATTCAGGGTTCTGTCTACATTATATACTAGAATTAGAAGTAGAACACATTAAGTAGAAAGGTAGTGTTCCTACATAAAGGCCTTATTAATGTATGAACTAGTGTATTTACTGTTTACTAGAGCCATTGTTTGGATCTGGGAGGATCCTGAGAAGGGAGCTAAGAGGATAGGGACCTAGAGTTAGTACTCAGAACATCCTCTAATAAACTACTACTTGTTCTGAAGGGAACATACAGCTTGTACAGTCTTATTGTCTAAGAGGGTAAGTATATATATTAACATTTCCTTATTAACCTCTCTCTTTCAACAAGGACAGACCTATGTCCTCAGCTGTAAACTCAACTAAGACTATCCCTACTTAATACTATAGACAAACTACTGAGTAGTAAATAGGGCTAGGTAGTATTCTGAACATTCTGAGATTTTAGAATACAGAAGTAGTAGGTCAGATTGTACAGATTTAGACTTGAATAAAGTACAAAGAGAAGAATCAAAAGAATCAGAAGAACTAAGAGAACTATCTACTTTTGTTTTTGACTTTTTTCCTTTTAATAAATAATTTGGTCAATTTACTTTTTCTACTTTTTCTACTTTTTCTACTTTTTCTACTTTATTTACTTTTAATCCTACAGTGTCTATTGAATCAAAAGTGGCTATTAAAAAATCCAAGTCATAGCCCTTTAGTACTATATTTACTGTTAGGCCTCTACAAAATCCTAGAGTACATAGTTAGAGTTTAAGAGTTCTAAGGTAACTTCCAGATTTGCAGAAAAGGCTTCTTACTACAAATCCTGCTTGTCACTCATTATTACTCTAATGACCTGATAGATATACTGTTACTTCTACAGACAGTCCTTAATTTAGTACCCTGACTTTCTGTAAGCAAAGTATACTTCTTACTTTCAGGCTTCTCTAATGTTTATCAGAACAGATTGATTGTAAATTATAGACAGATTGATTTAAGGGTTTAGAACTGTTAGAGCTAGACACATGTGTGAGTATTCTGTACAGACTTAACACATTCAAGCTATAGCTTGGTTGAAGGAAATGGTACACATCTTCTACTCAGTGTAAGTGATCAGTTCTAACATTATTCTAAGAATCTTATTAACTAGTTCTGAGTAAAGAGCTTTTTTAAGCATTCTAATAAGGACATTATTGAACCTGAGTACAAATCCTGCCTTCTGGGCCAGGATATTAAACTCCTGAAAGAAGGTATTAGTAGAATGTTTGTCCTGTCACAGAGACACAAGCTTATTCTGTGTATTATACTTCTTATTCAGATTAATAAAGGAAGTACAGAGCTACCTTATGAATTCTGAATACAACTCATTGTTCTAAAGTCAGATCAGGCTTCCAATCTGATGGCCTTCAATCTAGTTCTAGGCTTAGGTAGTTATATTACCTTCCTTCATGAAGGAGAGGACAAATAGGATACAATTAAGATCTGAGAATAGATTAGTTAAGGTAGTAGTTATGTATAGTTTGACTTAGTACTAGAAGTTCTTAAAGTGCTACCCATTAAAGTTTAAAGGGTGAGCTATATACACTTTCTTTCTAGAACAGGTTGTAACTTCTGGAACAATCAGAACAGGTTCTGAGAGGGCTGGGAGTACATAGTTGGTAAAGGCCTCTTAGATAGAGGTTTACACATATTAAGCTAGGTCTGCTTGTAACTGC